CACACAGAGGAAGGAAGTAGATATACACTGGAGAAAAAACTGTGGTTTTCTATGGCCAGGCAAGATGTATGGGCTTTATTCCATGGGACCAGTGCACAGAGGAGTTGAATCTCCAGGTTGTCTTTAAAGGAATTAGCCAGCATTTTCTGTGAAGTGAAAACTGCTGTTGCTGATATTTGAGCTTCTATCTTCTACTTGCCTCTAATTTAATAGGAATTCATGGGTTATTCAGTATTTAATATAAACCTATTAATACATTCCACTTTTTATGTGTGTCAGTTTCACATATTATATCTTTCGAGCAATTGGTCCATTTGATCTATGGTATCAACTTTGTGGGAATTGGGATTTTCATATTGTGTTTATACTTTGTAATCCATGGGAGCTATAATGATGTCTCCTCTTTCACTTCTGATGAGAAATCTGTGTTATCTTCTTTCCCCTGATTAGCCTAGCTAGAAAATTATTAGTTTTATTAGTTTTTGGTTTCGCTAATTTTCCCAGTTTCCTGTTTTCAATTTACTTATTTTTTATTAAATTTGTTCTTTTAATTATTTCCTAAGACAGAATCTTAGACTGATATTAGATCCTTCTTTAATATACACACACAATGCTATAAATTTTCCTGTAGGCATCAATTTCACTTTACCCCACTGAATTTCATAAACTATATTTTGTTTTCATTTATCCCAAACTATTTTTGAATATTCAAATGCACATTGGTCAAAATAACCCATGTTATTGAGAATTACCCCAATATTGTTAATCTTCAGTATTTTAGAATTTTTCATCTGTCATTTCTTGCTTAATTTCTTTGCAGTCTGACACCATTTTTATCATTTTTTAAAATTTATTGTATTGTATGGTCCAAAATGTGGTCTATAAATGTTTCATATGAACTTGAAAATAATTCATATTATGCCATTGAGTGATGGATGTCAACTGCATATAGTTGATTGATGGTATTATTGAACTCAATTATGTTCTTACACCACATAAAAATAAAATAAAGGTATTGTGTCCAACTGCAAATTAAAAAAAATGTTAAAAAAATACCTTGTACAACCCGAACTGTCAAAAATCTTACTCTTAAGCTGGGTGGATTGGTGCATTCCTGTAATCCAAGCAGCTCAGGAAAACTGCAAGTTTTATGTCAGCCTCAACAATTCAGTGAGGATCCACACAACTTAGTAAGTTGTCCATCTCAAAAATAAAACGGTCTGTAGCTAGGTGCAGTGGCACATGCCTGTAATCCCAGTAGTCCAGAGGCTGAGACAAGAGGATCAGGAGTTCAAAGCCAGCCTCAGCAAAAATGAGGCACTAAACAACTCAGTGAGATCTTGTCTCTAAATAAAATACAAAATGAGGCTGGGGATGTGACTCAGTGGTCGAGTTCCTCTTAGTTCAATCCCTGGTACACCCAAAAATAAAAATAATAAAAAAATGAAATATAATAAAAAGTGTTGTGAATGTGGTTCGGTAATAAATTGAGTTTAACCCCCAGTACTGAAACAAAACCTTCCTGTTAGACAAATAATAGAGAAAAGCTGTAAGCTATAAAAATTACTGCTGAGATAGGTAGGTAAGTATAAGCAAACTTGATGAACTCAAACTTATTTGAAGGTTCCCTTTGAAAGAAGTACTTGCACTACTGTTACTTTTAAAGCTGATACTTATTACACAGGATAGAAATGTACTAAAATGTACTAAACCTCAAGCCCCAATTTCAACATTTGTTTAACCTGACATCTTAAAACAGCTAATTCAGACACACACACACACACACACACACAAACACTTTCTCTGTAACACACACACTTACACCAACCAAGCATTTTCTTCATAGCACATGGAGAACATGATAGAATACTAGTAGGATTAAAAGGCTCAGAGAAAGGGGAAATTATTTCTAATAATCCAGTAATTACATTACAGGACAGTCCACATTGCCAGATTTAAAAGTTTGTAAAAAAAACAAAAACCACAAACAAACAAAAAACTCAACCCCTGTATTTTGGTGTTTTATAAACAGCAAATATAAACAATAAGCAACTATATTGAAGGACACTTACCACATACTTTGTTGAATATTTTGTGCATCTAATTTATATACCTTACACATGTTATTTACTGCTTCAAAGTTTTCTAGAAGTTTAAATGGTAATGGTAATGGCAGAACAATTACAAATAAATTAATATAAACTGGCCCAAAGTAATTTTATATAGTGAAAATAATCAACAACACGTACATTATTTAAAGGCTGTTTACACTTTTAGTCTTGAATCATAATTCAGAATAACAAAGTATTTAAGACAGTACAAACCCCATCAGAGATCAGTGAAACCTCATCTTTACTAGAGAAAATTTCAAACTGTGAGTTGTATTCTTATTTAACAACTTTTCAAACTAGTTAAAATGAGTCTAAAGTGAGAGAAAAATAGTAAATGAGGAAAAATTATACACTAACATAATTTTCTATTAACTAATAATATTAAAATAAATAAACACAACATTATTCTTAGTAGTGAGTGCCAAGTTTTAAGAACTAGCTAGGATAGACAGAATTACTGAATGATTTCTTCAAAATAATGAAAAGAAATGATATGATGTCTGTTCCAAATGCCACTTATGCAGTAAGCTTCATCATACCAGTGAAATGTTAAATTCTCCACATAAATGATACCAGTACTGATCAAATGTAACTTAGATAACAGAAAACTTTATGGTTACTGATAAAGCACACATAGACTCAAGTCAGATTTTCCAATTAAGTGATTTATAGGGGTATTTATACTATCAGAAATGCTTACTTCTACATTTAAACATTATTCCACTGCTAATAGAATTGTTAGAATATATCTCTAATAATTTGCACAAAGACTGAGTCTCTACTCTTGTGAAAACAGCACCATTGTGTAAGACTGTGTGTGTGTGGGGGGGGGGGGGTGGGGGCTTGGTTCTCAAGAGTCACTCCTTCCCTCAGACAGAAATTTGACGTTACACACTGATTTTATTAGAACAAGGAATGTTACTAATATCTACTTACATATTATCATAATATACAGATCTAAGAATGAACATTTCCCCAATATATCATGTTCGTATATAATGCAAAAACTATAGAACCTGTCACATGACAGCTCAGTCCCAACTACTGAAACTGTGGAGACTTTTCCCACCAAACTTGAGAACGGTCCCAGTCTGAAGTAAACTACTATCTAACTAAAGTCTTGATCACAGACAGGTATTTACACTCAAGGCCGTTTATATCTACAATGTATAAATGTCAGTAGAATACTTACCAAGTGTATACAAAAAGGAAATATTTAAGGTCATGAAAACCAATTCCAGTTTTTAAAATTAAAACTAAAATGACCCTTTTTAAATGTTATTTTCAAAGTTAAGAATAAACCCAGAAATGTTTCCTGAGAATTAGTGTTACCAGAAGACATCTTATTTAATAACAGTACTGATATCTACTTTATAAAACATTCTCATATTTTCTAATCAACATTCATGGTACCCACTTTAATATAAATACTCTAACATATTCAAATTCTCACAAATTAGATTGTCATTCTTTTTCCAACAGTCTGAATGATTTGTGAAGCTAACCAAGTCAATAAAATTAAATCAAGACAAAGGTTTATTTAATATATTTAGTATGCTATCTTTCTTCTTGTGCAGGCAGAAGGAGACCTTTGCTCAAGTGTTATTTATTATATTTAATATTGGTAGATATTAGGAATTAATTCCATTTCCTTTGAATTACACTAAATTGTTTCATCTAATATAAGAGTAACCATATATCATGACTTTGCTGAGACAGGTCTAATGCCTTAGAAATAACTTAGATGTAAAACAAAAGGTCAGAACAAAAATTGTCACAGAAGAACAAGATTAACTGACACAGAAGAATTTACTTTTTTAAATGATACATTCTATAAGATAAACAAGAAATGTGCAATATTAATTTTTAGAGTACCTTTTAACATATGTAACAAATTAACATTTGGTTTATTTTTCACCTCTGGAACTTTCTTTTCTTTTTTTTTAAAGAGAGAGAGGGAGAGAGAGAGAGAGAGAGAGAGAGAGAGAGAGAGAGAATATTTTAATATTTATTTTTTAGTTTTCGGTGGACACAACATCTGTATTATTTATTTTTATGTGGTGCTGAGGATTGAACCCAGCGCCCTGCACATGCCAGGCGAATGCGCTACAGCTTGAGCCACATCCCCAGCCCCAACTCTGGCACTTTCTATCATCTAATGTTTTCATGATTATCCTTGAAGTCCGTAAATTATTTAATATCTCCCCATTCTTTATGCATGAAATAAAAATCTGGGATTTAAAAAGTAATAACTTCACACAAAGGAGGGCTATTTGATATCACTATTTCTGTTTTACTGCTACAGATTAACAAGGAGCAACATTGAGATCAACAGTTTCACAATTCTCTGACCATCTCATTTACTAAGCATCAGAGACTAAACATAATTTCTTCAATAGAGTTTGTATACAATGCACATGAGTCCTATTGCTATTTCAGCACTGTAAACAATATATAAAAAATTAAATCTCAAATTGCAAAAGAAGTTAAAGAAAAATTCAGCTGATATAACAATTAGTAATAGGAAAATGTATTAATAATTCACAAAAAACAGTTTACCCATTATTTTTCCTAAGAGAATCATATATAACTATTCTGTCACTTGAATTTAATAACTTCATAATTTTTTGGCAATTTTTTAAGCAAACTGACACATCAGAATACAAAACAGAAAAATATCAATTTCAGCAAAGAAAAATTATAAGTCTTTTCTACAAAAGACTTATAAAGATCTAAATGGCTATAATTCCTCTATCTATTTGCAGAAACACATAATGGAATCTTTATAAATCTGCCATGTATATCAATATCTACATAAATATATACAGATATAGATAGGACACATTAATGGCAAATGATTTGAACAGTGTGGGGGATCAGCAGAGCTTATCAGACCATGGCATGATATGTACCCCGCATTTTTAAGAACTGAATGATGAAAGACGGTCCCCTAGCAACAATCTGAGGTGGAAGGTAACTGAGTGGACAGTTCTCAATACTCATGGTTGTAAGCTTGCTGCAGAGAGCCAGCTCAAAAGGAAGGCTATGTAGGTTAGGGTTGTCATTCAAATACAGTTCTTCAAGGTTTTCCAGTGTACCTGTTTTATTTTTAAAATCAATAATTAAAAAAAAATAGTCACTATACAAAGGTGCAAGTGGGAATTAATATATAATACATATTTCCCACTCTTCTCTCCATTTTAAGACACTTAGAACCATCAGTCTCAAACTTCACTACATATACAACTTATCTGGGGAGATTTTCTAAAACCCTGATGACCAGGTCACACTCCATAACAATTTACTCAGAACCTCTTCTTTTATGCCTGGTTTTTTTGAAAATGCTCCAACTCTAGAGATCTTTTTGAGACAGTTTGGCATTCATGTGTGTGTTGGTGTGTGTGTGTTTGATATAGATCTTTCATGAAGAAAGTTACCACATATTTGGTAGGTAAATCAAAATAAATTCATGTAGTCTTTCAAAAAGTTTCCTTACACGATTATGGTTATTTTACACATAAGAAGTTCCAGTCTTCCAGCAAGAGTTTGTGTAGATTATTCAAAGACATAAAACTAAAAAGTGAGAGATTCAGATTTTAAATTGCTAAAAATCTCCCAAACCATTGTTTTTGTTGTTGTTGTTGTTGAACCTTTGTTTTTTATATATTTATATGTGGTTCTGAGGATCAAATCCAGTGCCTGACACATGCTAGGCAAGTGCTCTGCCACTGAGCCACAATCCCAGCTCCCCAAAATATTCTTAATTACTAATCCAATATTGTTTTAAGCACATTATAAATGGCAGAACAGTATACATAGAATTATTAATTTAAGAACTCACAGTTATTTACTATGTGACCTTAACTAACTCTGTATAAAACAGTATTACAACCTTCACTTATAAAATTAAAGGTGGTCATAATTATATGAGATAATGGATATAAAAAGATTTAGCAAAATTCTAAAATGCACCCAAATATTAATATTAATCAAATATTATTATTGAGCCTAAATCCCAACAATAATAATTTGTTTCAATTCTGTGTGATTTTTCAAATTTAGCAAAAACAGAAAATAATTCTTTTAAATTAAGATTTCATAAAACACACCTTATTGGAAATATAAATATACCATACTATATTCAAAAATACAATATTAATCACAATACCCCATGGTGAAACAATCAAAGCACCCACTAACATTAAGTATCAGTACTCCATAAAAAAAACTCACAAGGCTAATATAACCTCAGCTTACAAAAACAGATTTATCTGAAATACTGTGTGAAAATACAACAGTAGAGTTAATAATACATAGGGTTCCTACCAATTTCCTTAGGAAGATGATTAAGCAGGTTATCTCCAAGGCTTAGATGTGTGAGATTGGTAAGGTAACCAATGCTTCTGGGAAGAATGGTCAACTGGTTGTTTGTCAAGACTAAATTCTAAAAAAAAATAACAATTAAAAAGTTATATACACATTTCCTACAACTATATAAATTTAAAATGATACTTCCACAAAAAAATAAAATAACAGGGAAATTAAATCAGATGAGACTTAGTAAGTTACAGGATCTTCTTTCAAAAATTATCATTTGCTAGAAATATAAAAGGAGATTATGTGAACTTAAAACTCAGCCCTAATCCTATAATAGAAAAATCTATCTGGTCCAAGAATTAAAAAATGGTGAAGAATTAGAAAGATGAATTCCAAAAACTCCAATCATATGCTTATAAAGCCCCTGACATGATTTACCTGTAAATCTTTAAGATAACCAATTTCATTTGGCAAGGATTCTAATTTGTTCTCCTCTATATCCAACTCTCTTAACTTCTTAAGGTTTCCAAGACCTTGGGGAAGCTTCTTTAGAAGATTGTTTGATAATATTAGAACCTACAGAGAAACAATTGACAGTTTGATAAAACATGATATGGAATTATATATATATATATATGTGTGTGTATTTCATTTTTATACTGGACATATATATGACAACTGTGTGGCTTAAAAATTTATAAGCAATGATAATTTTCCAAACAGTGAGTATTAGGATAGGTAACACTTGATTAAATTACATAAAATATTTAATTTACTACTCTAAAAATTTTCAAACCCAGTAGAGTTATTGGAAATAATCTTTTAATGTCAAAATTAAACTAAAAATTTGACTATAACTAAATGATAAAAAATTTAAAAACATTAAATTTTTCATGAATATCATATATTAATCTATCTGATACTGAAAAGTTGCAAATGTCTATGAAACCACCTGTTGTAAACAATCACATAAGGAAGGTCACAACTGACAATCCACGGTATTTATAATTTGTGGTATTTACTACATTTCAGGCATTCTAAAAAAATAAAATTGGGGGAGGGAGGAAGATGTCCTTGTTTTCTAATAAACTATAAACTACCAGAGGAGTAGGAGTCAGTAATGCAATGGGGTTTTGAAACAAGCACTAAGAAGAAAGGTGTTCAGAGACTTCTAGCTCATTTTATATCTTCTTATTTCACCCATGCTTTCAATCACACAATACTATTTCATCTTACCAAATTAAATAAACAAGATTTTAAAAAAACATGATATAGGAAAAATTTTTAAAAGTTGAAGTACTATTAGTAAGCTTTACTCATCAAAAAGATGAAAACTTTAGGGACTCAGGCAAAAGTGATTATCCCTGACTAAGAAGGTGAAAATAAGATGGATATTTATTTATGTGAATGAATTTTTAAAGAAAAAAGAGGATGAGAAGAGTTAGATGCTGGAAACAACTGGAATAAACATACAGACCTGAAAACATGCTAGATTTCCAACAAATAGCAGGTGAGTGATTTAGGATGGAAATTAGGTCAACATCATACAGTAAAAGGTTCTAAATGCCTGTCTCATGTATCCATAATGATTATGGTAAACAAGATATGGTTTTTAAAAAGAATTCAGAAAAATGGCCTAAAGATGCTGAATTTTAATACCCCTTCCTTCAAAGTTATATTAGAGCATTCAAACCTACCACCTTTTAGTGGGCAATGGTAATACTGAACCTAGACTAACTCATTTTCAGTAGTATTAAATATTAATGATTAGTATTCAGAAGTATTGAGTCTAGACTAATTGATCCAATCCTGCATCATCCTAACAAGGTCATATGTTTAAGAGAGTTCTTATTATCATCACTTTTAATTAAGATCTTCAAAGAGAAATCACTTATTTTATATAAGTAGATAACTGAGAAAGAGACTGAGAAGTTTAACATGCTCACTAATACACTCACCTGAAGAGAAACAAGACCAGATAAATCCTCAGGGATCATTCTTAGCTGATTATTGGCTAAATTCAATTCTATCATGATGGTCCAAGTTCCAAAGTCCAATGGAAGTAATGTTAACTGATTGTCCTGGCAAAGACAAAATGCAGCATTTCATGTGGAACCATTAAAACAAAGCTACATGTGTACAGTCTTTTGGAAAAAAATCTTAAACCTTATTCCCCTTCCCGATATCTAAATCAGGGATTTACAACCAGCAACTAAAGCATCGATTTTGCAAGATTTTTGCATAGTACAGAGATTTTGCTTTGAAGTTAAAAAGGAAGTTTGTTTCCTATGTGAATATGAGTAATGGAAATATAAAAATACTACACAGAGAAACCACTTCAGAGTTCAAAGATAATAGTCATAAATTTGATGTTTTATTTCACAATAATGTTTAGAAACCATTGGACAAAATGTGGGTGTTCAAATTGAGATATGAACACCACATAAGACGATACATGGCCGAAAAGGAAACCCAGGCGAGCTCAGGAATGGAAGAGATGCTGAGCAGAAAAAAAGAGGAAAGGGATGGGGATATGGCTCAGTTGGTAGATGGCTTGCCTCCCAAGCACAAGCCCCTGGGTTTGATCCCTAGCACACACACACCCTCTAAAAAGAGGAAGACAGAATTCATTCATCACTAAATAATAAAATCATGATGGAGTGCTATGATATTAATTAAGCATTTTAAATTACCTTTTCCCTGCTCTTACATGTTCACTTTTTTATATTTTGGATTGAATCCAGGGGCACTTAACTACTAACCCACATCCCCAGCTATTTTTTTTATTTTATTTTATTTAGAGACAGGTCTCACTGCATTGCTTAGGGCCTCAGTAAGTTGTTCAATCTTCCTATATCAGCCCCCCAACCTGCTAGAATTACAGGTGTGTGCTACCATGCCCATCAGATTCAACCCTAAATAAACTATTACAATGGTAACGGAAGGAAGAGGGTGATATCCCCCTTGTCCCAGTTGGGTATCAATGTGTCAAGATGTTAACCAATTGGTCATGGATTTCTTTTACATTTAAAAAAAAAATATTTTAGTTGTTAATGGACCTTTGTTATTTAATTTATTTATATGTGGTGCTGAGAACCAAACCCAGTGCCTCCCACATTAGGCAAGTGCTCTAACACTGGGCCACAAACTCAGTCCCATCTTTTATGTTCTTTTGTTAGTGTATATTTCTAATTTTTTTCTGCAACATTTATGGATCCTTGTGTCTTTTTACACAAAATCATCAATATAAGAAATCCCAATCAGTGAATATATATTTAAAAATCCAGTTTATATTTTCTAAATTGAAATTTATTATTTATTAAAAATATTTATTATCTATCCATGCCCAAACTACCAATAGGTACAGTATGATAAAGTATTTTTATTAAGAAATATTTACTATAGGTGCTTATATGAGGAAGAATACAACAAGCTTCATTTTGATTTTTTTCAAGAGAAAGTTCTGTGTAACCTTTACAAGTTTGAATAGAAATTTAGGAAAAGTGCTATAAAGTGTTTTACTAAAAACAACAATCCTTTCCAAGCTAACATACTGTAATAATGTCAAACTCATAAAAGTGCATAATCAAATATAAAAACTAATTAATATTGGGATCACTATGTTCTAAATCTATTATTACAAAATGAATACACAGAATTAATCTTATTTACCACTACATTACTGTTACTGCATATATTAATTATGTAACTATATTAAAATTTTTGTTTGTAATAGGATTTTGAATTTATACTACTTCAGTAATTATGTGCTTCCAAATTACTATAAAAGATACATACTATATTTATGACAAAGTATAGACAGAGTCAAGAAATTGTAAATTTAAATTATAAAGAACAATAATGTGTGACTGGCTCATCAAAGACAGAAAGATATTGAAAAATATAATATAAAGAACCCTCTACCTAGATTAAAAAAATCTAGGAAGCTGAATTCCTGCCTCAGCCATGAAATAGCTGTATGGACAAATAGACTGTTTTCTCTGTGTAGAAAGTTTACTAAAAATTAAATCACTGGACTAGATAAATCACCATTTCTTCACCTCTTTCACAATAAACTATTACAAATGTGAGATCCTTTCACTGGACAATATAGAGATAAGAAATAAAAAGAACTGCAGATCAGAATTACTTATGGGTGGTCTTTAAAGAGATACATTTTAGAAAACACTGACTATATATGTACACATAAATACCTAAGTATTTACTGTATTTAATCATACTCTAAACAGCTTTAAACTGTATGTATGCAAATAAATTTTTATATGCTGTGACTTCCTAATTCTTAATAAACTAAGAATATTGTAACTGGTATTTAATATTCTTCTAAATCTGAGCATCAATTTTGGTGGCTCTGCAGTATTCCACTTTAAAAATTTAAATCCCTAAGAGTAATAATAATTTGGTACCTTTAAAACTTTTCTGCAATAAATATACCTACAAATATACTTTAATAAATCCTCATGATTAATTTTTGAGGACAAAATCCTAGGGTATTATACACAATTCTAAAATACTTTTTATCTGATAAAAACTGCCCCCAAGGGGCTGGGGTTGTGGCTCAGTTGTAGAGTGCTTGCCTAACATATGTGAGTCATTGAGTTTGATCATCAGCACCACATATAAATATATAAAATAAAGGCCCACTGACAACTAAATATCTCCCCCAACTCTGTGTGTGTGTGTGTGTGTGTGTGTGTGTGTGTGTGTGTCCCCTAAGTAGACTTCATCAACAAAGTAAAATGACACATAACCCACATCATTAGAGACAGTAGAATATCAATGCATTCGTAATTCCTCCTTTCCTCCTGATACAAAAAGTTTACCTTCATATTTAGTTTTCTTAATGCTTTTGCTCTAGAGAAAATTCCATATGGGATTTTATTGATTTGATTGTGTTCCATGTTGAGGGAACAGATGGTGAAAAACTGAGCTGGACCACCCACTGGATATGACTGGAAGTAATTTCTAGCCAAGTTCAAATTGTTCAGTTTCACAAGACTGCATAAAAGGCTCTGTTAAAAAAACCAAGCATAAATCTAAATTAGAACTGAAAAAAACTTCATTTTAATAGAACAGCAAATTCCAAACACAAATGCTTCAAGGCCTTGCAGGTAAGGATCTACAGAAACAGGTCAGGCTGGTTCTGTGACACTTCCTCCAGATAGTCAATGCTCAATTCCAGCAAGCTGTTGTCTTGCCTCGTGGAAATTGTGAAGTCAGTGCACTCAGATTTTTCAGATTTCACAATAAATCAGGAATTTTTTCCATTTTTTTGAATTTTTGGCTTTAGTTTATTTAAATCACTCTATAACATAAAGTACACATTGGTGACTGAGAAGTATCTCAAGATGGCTAGTTTGAGAGTGCTATGCCACTTACTGTAACAAACCCTATATAGGTTTTAGTTATATAACTATATAAATTAGTAGTAACATTAACATTAGTATTAAGATTAAGCTGGAGTTTTAGCTCAGTAGTAGAATACTTGCCTTGCACACATAAGACCTTGAGTTTGATCCTCAGCAGCATGTAAAAATAAATAAAAATAAATAGTAAAAAAATTCACATAATTCCTGTCACAGTATAAACCATTATTCAATAATTTAATGGTTCTTTAGGAATACTAAATTGAGAAGCTGATTATACTTTTTGATATACTATAACACATTCCTTTTTATATGGTAAAATTTGAAGGAATACAAGTACCTATTAAGCAAGTACTTACTAAACACGTAAACTCATATGTTCCTACTTTAGTTTCCCACTACATAAATAAACTGCTAAGTGTGTAAATATAAAGAAATCTCTGCCTTTAAGAACATTAAACATTTTTAGAGATATAAAGCACAGATAGGAAGCACTTAGAAAATAATGCACAATTGGTATATCATCAATAATAAATTACACAGAATAGGTGCTCATTATTTAGGCTGGATCAAGGAAGAGCAACATTAGTAGCCCCTGGAAGGGTGTTAGAAATTGAGATTCTAGGCTGACTCCCACAGAATTAATATGCATTACAACAAACTACTCTGTTGACTTGCATACCAATCTTTAAGAAATACTGTTTGTTATTGGTTATTCAAATAGTTTTGAATCAGTCTTGCCTTATCATTTAATAGCTTGTGATTTGGAGCAAACCATTTTTCTTTCTTCTTTTCTCTCTTTCTTTATTTTCTAGTACTGGGGATTGAACCCAGGGTTCCTCCACCTATGAACTATATCCTTGGCATTTTTCTTTGAAATTATCTTAGAGTTTCACTAAGTTGCCCAGGCTAGCCTTGAACTTGTGATCCTGCTTCAGCCTTCCGAGTAGCTGGGATTGCAGGTGTGCACCACTATTCCTGTTTGGGTAAACTGTTGTATTAATACTTTGTTTATTCACTTTTGAAATGATAATGCCTTACTTTATGGGTTGTAGTGAAGACAACGGAGACAAAATACACAAACAGTTTTACCATACCAACATATAATAACTGCTAGAATTTTAGAACCCCTATTTAATTCCAAAGTAAAGAAGAAATACTAGAATACTTAGAAATGCAGAAAATAGACTGCAATGAAATTTTGAAAGATCAAAAAAGAAATCAGAATTCAGAACAGGAAAAAAAAACAATCTAGATTAAGTAAAAATATAAGCAAAAAGAAACAAAGCCCACTGAGAGTATGTGGGTTTAAAATACCATTCAAAATTCAGCTGTTGGTCCTCCATGAAGGCATGGTACCTGAGATGTCAGTTATGGCAATATAAAAGGAAGGAAGAAAATAACCATAGAATTGAAAGTGAATTATCTATTTAATAAATATTTTATTTTCACACTAAACATTAAAAATCTATCCTTAGCATCTATTTTTGCACACAGACAAAATGTGAGCACAAGAACAGTGCTTAAGAAAACCTTATATGACAATTCAAGAAAAATGTCTTTAATCTGCTTTATCACAAACAAGTTTTATTGAGACTCATTGCAAAAATGTTATTCTTAAACTGACAAACTGCTGAACTGATATTCTTCTATGACAAAATATTGATATTTTATTATACTAAGAGTACAAGAAGACTTCTCTTCAACACATTTAAAAAAATTTTTTGTAGTTATAGATGGATAGAATGCCTTTATTTTATTTATTTTATTTTTATATGGTACTTAGGATCGAACCCAATGCCTCACACATGCTAGGAGGCAAGTGCTCTTCCACTGAGCCACAGCCCCAACCCTCTTCCATGCATTACTTATATCACACTGTGAAACATAGGTGTTTATCTTTCCTTTACAGTCACATATATCTGGATTCCTATCTTAGGTCTTCTACTCATCAATTTTGCCAACTTTGGTAAATTGATTAGATAATCTCTCTCCCATATTTTCAAAAAAATGTTTATGGTAACAAATCTGACTAAAATAAAACCATCTGTCTTTTCCCCCTATCTATTCAATAAGAATATTCCCAACAAATCATAGGAAGATACTGAATATAAAATAATACATGTAGAGCTCCTAGCTTCATGTCTTGAGCATATGTGCTTAAAGTTATAGTTTCATTTCCTTATGTGTATTTAATCTTGCTAAGTGAAATATGCTAGTCTCAAAAATTAAAGGGTCTAATGTTTTTTCTCTCATATGAGAAAGCTAAAGCAAAATAAGGAAATGAAGGAAGAGATGATTAGTTTCATAAAATAAAGGAAAGATCAGTAGACTAGAAGGAGACTGAGAGGGTGAATGGAGGGAAGGGAAAGGGGTATGCAAAGCAATTTTAAAGTCATGCTATATACATACATAAACATAAGCTATTTCAATTTTATGTATAAGTAGAAAGAACCACTCAAAAGTGAACACGTACATGAGCAAAAGAAAATCACTATCATACAGGAAGGAAAATGGGGGAGGGGCATGGGATGTAAAGGGGAGGAGCCTGAACTAAAATCGAGTTCCATGCATGTATGAGTTTGTCAAAAGTAGCCCAAGTACAGCGTATAATTGTAATGGGGCAATGCGTGCGCATGCACAGACACACACACACACACACACACACACACACACATATACGTATATATATATACACACACACACACACATATATAAGCTTCCCCTGACAATAAAACTGGGGCAATCTATACACACACATTTAAATTGAATATCCACTTTTTGAATTTTGATATAGACCCAGTCTTTATACTTATGTATATGGATATATATTAAAACCAGTCATTCTTAATTAAGCTCACAAACCATGTCCAAATATAATCTCAAAAACAACTAGTCAATGTGCTAATTACTTACCCTCTTATGGATACAAGTCATTCATTAGCAAGAGGGGTGACATTAAACAAAAGAACCACATACATTTTGATCATGTGTAAATTACTATGATCAAAGACAAAAATCCAGATATTCTGGTTCTCAGAGCTGTATCTGATATCTGTGGATTTACTCCTTATCCCATTCAACCTGCTGCCAGCAGAAGTACTCTTTTGTCATAGGTAAGAGACTGTTCTATTAGTCTTAATGAACTGATGCAGTCTAGAAACTGCAATTGTGGGAAACTCATTTCCTCTCCACCCACCAATACTACAGATTGAACCCAGGGGCACTCTTACCACTGAGCTAAAATCTCAGCCCTTTTTATTTTTTTTTTAATTTTGAGATAAGGTATCATTAAATTGCCCATGCTGGCCTTAGGCATGCCATCTTCCTGCATCAGTCTCTGGAGTAGTTAAAAACAAGCACCACTTTGCCTGGTTGAAATTCATCTTTCAACCCTGGCCAAGTGTTTCATGAAAATTCAGATACACAAATTTACTGTGTGTGTGTGTGTCTACATTTTTAATCATTAGGGAAGAAAAAAATTTGCAAAAGATCTATCAATTATTAAGTCTACATTCCATTCTTTTCTTAGAATATTATGCTTGAATAAACATAAGCAAACATTTATGAGTAAAATTCCCTTTCATTGTTGAGAAACAGTTTAAAAGAGTGTTATATTATACCCAATTACTACCAACACAAAATAAATAAAAATGATTTAATATATACAAACAAGCCAAGTTAAAAGTAACATTTATGTAACAAAATGAAATTAAACCTGTCTCCCTCTGTACAAAATGAAATTAAACCTCTCTCTCCTCCTCTGTACAAAACTCAAATCAAAGTGGATCAAAAACTTAGGCATTAGAATAGAGACCCTCATCTTACTAGAAGAAAAAGAAGGCCCTAGTCTTCACCATGTTGACCAAGGATCTGACTTCCTTAACAAGACCCCTAAAGTGCAAGAAGTAAAAGCAAGAATCACTGAATGAGATAGACTCAAACTAAAACATGTCTTCTCAGCAAAAGAAACAATTAATAATATAAAGAGAGATCCTAGCGATTGGGAAAATATCTTTACCGTGTGCATGTACAATAAAGCATTAATGTCAAAAAACTTACACACAAAAAAAAAACCCAATCAATAAAAGGTCTAAGACACTTCTCAAAAGAAATACAATCAAAAAATATATGACAAAATGTTCAACATCTCTAGCAATTATAGAAAGGCAAATCAAAACTACTTTAAGATTTCATTTCACTCCAGTCAGATCGACAATGATCAAGAATAAAGGCAAGAAGATATGGCAAAGAGACAGTGAAAAATGAACACTCATACATTGCTGGAGTGACTGTAAATTGGTGCAACTACTATGGAAAGCAGATGGAGATTCCTAAGAAAACTTGAAATAGAACCACCATTTGACCCAGCTATAGAACTCTTTGGTTTATACTCAAAGTATTTAAAATTAGCATCCTACAGTGACACAGCCATGTCAATGTTTATAGCAGTTCAATTCACAATAGCTAAACTGTGGAACCAGTCTAGGTGTCTTTCAATAGATGCATGGGTAAATCAAATGTACAATGGAATATTACTCAGCCCTAAAGAAGAATGAAATTATGGCATTTTCCAGTAAATGAATGGAGCTTTAGAACATCATGATAAGCAAAATAAGCCAATCCCCAAACACCAAAGGCCAAATGTTTTCTCTGATATGTTGATGGTAATTCAAAATAAGGAGGGGGCACTAGAAAAAGTGCATTAGTTCACCTTAGATCAGGTAGATGGGAGTAAAGAGAGGGGAGGTGAGGGGAGATAGGAAGGACGACACTAACATCACTGCCTTATGCACACATATGTCTCTATTCCTGATGGGATTCTGTAACACGTAAAATCAGGCCGTGGCTGTGGCTCAGTGGCAGAGCCCTTGCCTGGCACATGTGAGGCCCTGGGTTCAATCCTCAGCACCACAGAAAATAAATAAACAAAAATAAAAGTACTGTGTCAGTCACATGGAAAAATCAGTAAGATGATGAATCATACCTACCTGTGTACATAAAAGTGCACAAATGCATTCTACTGTCATGGAAAACTAATTTTTTTTTTCAAAAATTAAAAAGTAATGTTTAAAAATGAAAGATTTTGGTGATTCTAATATATGAAATACTTTTAATATTACTGCATTGATAAGGGTGATAACTTGTGTCACATTAGAGTTGCAGCTAACATTAATTTTAATAACAAGTAGTATGTTCTATCAAGGTAGTTCTTGCCATTTATCATCTTTCTACAGTACATTTGTATAAGGAACTGAGCAGGATAGATGAGATTTTAAACCAGCCATACAGCTTTTTCTTAATATTTGTACTGCCATTGCCCAAAATGACATAAGAATGATTTACACAGTGCTAAGGGAACTATAGCACACTGATTTTCCTTCTGATTTTTACCTTATTTATATTAAAAAAGCTTCTGTGTATTCTTTCTTTCCTCTTTTGAATTCTATTTTAGTGGTAGCTATATAGGATGCTTGTTATTTAAACAATTTCAGTCACCAAATTATGTCCCCAGCTATAAAGATTGGTTAGTTTCCCCTAAATTATCTTGAAGGCTTATTTCAATCCAGTCATGTTTTCTCTCATACAATTATTACCTCTGGTAAAGCAGAAATGTTATTGTTCTCCAAATTTAAGTCTTCAAGTGCACTGCAGTTTGCTAGTGATCTGGGTATTGCTGACAGTCTATTGTATCTCAGACCAAGACGATACAAATGAGACAGGTTGCCTGGAAATATAAAACGAACCTCTTTACTGTCACAGGCTATCCACTGGATTACAAGATTCTTATCTTCTAGAACCAAGGAACTTTATAAGAAAAATAATCAAATATGCAGTTATACTTTGTTAAGTGTCCTATTGAAAATTATTGTCATCTTTTAACAACTTAATCTTCAGAACCAACTTGTGACAAGAAGTTACACAGATTGGGCATCTCTAATGTGAAAATCTGAAGTGCTCCAAGATCAATAACTTTCTGAGCACCATACAAAAATACATCTACATTAATGAAATCTAAGAAAATCCTGCTTAAGAACATATTAGCCACTAATGAGTACATTAAAAATAGTGTTTTATTTTCCAGGTATTTCTAGTTTTATCATCAGTACGAGAATACACATGAGATACACAGATGGATATAACGACATCTACTATCATAAAAGATTCAAATCAAATTAAACTTACCAAATAACATATATAAGAAAAAAAGTTCCTTTGATATAACTGTTGCTGTGACATTACTACATAGGGTAGGTTAAAATGTCAGATGTTGCCTTTACTTTTAAATTTTCTTTTCCAATGTTAGAAGACATAGAAATGATTGTCTGGTCTCTAGGTCACACTTATGTTTTTAGTGACAAATACTTGTGGGCTTTCAATTTTCAGAACCTTCTAGTATCTGTCCATTTCTTTCTTTTTGGTTTGCTCATTTTTAAAAAATTGTTGTATGATAAACTTTCTTTTTGATGTTTATAATGCTTGCATAAATGGATGATAGCATACATTAAGTTGATGGCATAAATTAAGCCTTGGAACTTAAGAGGACAGTCATTATGCTTCATAACCTTCTTTCACTCATTCATTGGGTTCTTTCCCTCTTGCTGAAGAAAGTTACATAAAAATGATTAATTGGTACAGTTTTACTTTCTACATTTATAAAAATTAGTCATTGACAGTAATAAAAAATCTCATGAGTCTATACTATAAATCTAGTCAACTATAATGCAGAAAAGCAGCAATCATCTCAGTTCTTCCCAGTATAACTATTGTTAGGCTCATGCGCATCACTTTCCTTCAACAAGGTTGGTAAACTGAGCCCAAAAGTATTCTAGTTCCAATTAAGTAATATTCCAACAGGAATAAAATAGTATATAAAAATCAAGATTAAAAATTACCATTTAGGAAATATTAAGTGTGTTTTGTCTTTAATGTATCTTCTCAATTAACTAAGGAAATCCACTAGCATCTTTTTTATGACACTCTGGTAAACTGCATCCATTTTGAAGGGGAGAAGGGAATGGAGGCCTTGGGTGACTTTTCAACGCTCCAGGGAAGTTAGTGGTTAGTCATACAGGCAAAATATTTACTTCAAGACAGCAGTTGTGTATGTATTATTTTCATAATCTGTTACACTTTTGAAGTGCTAAGCTAGCAGAAAGGGGAAAGGAACAGAATCAAAAGATACACTTCAATTAAGTTCGTGAATACTGTTCAGGTGTATCATTCTTCTCCAAGAGATGACAGGGAGAATCACAAAAGTCAATTAAGACTGCTGATATGTATAACAGATCATGATTCAAATGTTCAGATTTTCACCAAAACTCAGGCTTCTGCTACATGATACAGGAGATAGGAGTGATGGAAAAAAAGAGAAAAAAATTATTTTAATAAACACTGTAAATGAGAAATAACTGTGATTCATGAAATTTTGAAAACATAGTACTTATTAACTTCCTTTACTCAAAATAGGAATGGTACTATATTTGCTGACCACTAGCAAATCATATAAAATAATGGCAATATTTTTCTTTGTCTTTATTGATCTTTATTACCTGACCTTGAAGAAAACGTTATACATGAAGCCATGTGTTTTTGATATGTCATCTGAATTACAAGATATTTATAATGAAGATAAATGTTTTCATATTCATAATATAAATTAAAATCAGAAGAATCACCTCTAGTAAAAAATGAAACATAGAATGATTAAGGAAACCAAGACAGAGAAGGATACATAAAGAAGTTACTTTGTGTCAAAGGAAGTGAACCCAAAGGACCCTCGTCCTACTTTCTGGGAGATTTTACCATCTAGCCCCATCTACATTCTCTCTGTGGGCCAAAACCTTTCTTTTAGTGCTCTGATTGCATCACCCACTTACTAGTCAATAAGGATACAAATACATGCTCAAAAATACAAAACAAGAAAATATTGCTAAAATGTTAGAATGGATAGGGTCGACTGCTGACCAAGCCCCATGTATCCATTTGATGAACTGTATGAATAAGAAAATAATATCAATGTTTAGGAGAAAGGAGGCCTAATCAGAGATACAATAAATATAAAGACCCTGAGGCTAGAATTTGTTTGATAAGCTCAAGTATCAATGGTGTATAGCATCCACAATATTCCAAGAATTATACAGTGTCAATAATTAGAAAATCCTAAAATTCCACCAAAAGATTGCTAGAGCTAACAAATTTGATGAATTAGCAGGATACAAATCCAACATACAAAAATCAATGGCTTTCCTATATACCAACAATGAATCCACAGAGAAAAAAAAAATCATAAAACAATCTCACTCACAATAGACTTTAAAACAAAAAACAACAAAAAACCACCAACTGACCAACCTAGCAATAAATCTAACCTCTACAATGAAAATTATAGAATATTGAAGAAATTGAAGACCCCAGAAGATGGAAAGACCTCCCACGTTCATGGATAGACAAAATATTATTAAAATGATCCTACTCCAACAAGCAGAATATAGGTTCAATACAACCCCCATCAAAATACCAATAACATTACTCCTAGAACTAGAAAAAAAATTCCTAAAATTCATTTGGAATAATAGAAGATCAAGAATAGGTAAATCGATGCTTAGCCAACAAAGCAATGCTTTAGGCATCACAATAAATGACTTCAAATTGTACTACAGAACGACAGTAACAAAAACTGCATAGGACTGGCATAAAAAGAGACATAGATCAATGGTACAGAATAGAAGACACAGAGACAAACCCACAGTCATCTGATACTTCAAAAAGGTGCTAAAACATATATTAGAGAAAAAATAACCTTTTTAACACTTGGTGGTGGGAAGAATGAAACTAGACCCTTATGTCTTACCCTGCCAAAAACCAACTCAAAATGGATCAAAATCCTAAGAATTAGACCAGAAACTGCAACTCCTAGAAGAAAATACAGGGTCAACACTCCAGCTTTTAGAACAGTCAATAACTTTCTCAATAGAACCCAACAGCCTTAGGAAATAGTGCAAAGAGTTAATAAATGGGACAACATCAAATTAAAAAGCTTCTGATCAGCAAAGGCAACAATTAGGAATGTAATGAGAGAAAGAACACACCTGAGAGAGAATCACTGCTCTTCTCCTGAAATAGTGTTAATAGATAAAATAAGAACTCCAAAAACCTAACAAAATAACCCCAAATAACCCCACTAGTAAGTAGGTAAATAGATACTTCTCAAAAGAAGAAGTACAAATGGCTAACAAAGTGCATGGAAAAAAAAATGTTGAACACCTTTAAAAACTAGGGAATGCAATACAAAACTACACTGACACTTGATCTCATGGCAGTCATGGGCAGGTACAGTATAGAATGCTTGTAACCCAACTGACTCCAGAGGCTGAGACAAGAAATTCACAAGTTCTTGGTCAGCCTCACTGATTTATTGAAACCCAACCTCAAAATAAAAAAGGGATTGGGGTTACAGCTCAGCAGTAAGTGCCCTTGGATTCAATTCCAAAAACAAAATAAAAAACAAAAAACACCCAACAAGAGCAAAAAATCAAAAATACAAATCATGATAAATGCTGGAGATGATGTCGAGAAAAGAAGAAACTTTTACATTGTTGGTGGGATTGCAGATTAGTACAACCACTGTGGAAATCAGTATGAGGGGGCCACAAAATCTAGGCATGGAAACACCATATGACCCAGTTGTACAATTCTCATCAGTACTTTTTCTCAAAGAATTAAAGTCATTAAAGCTTTAATTTTGATCCATGTATACCCACATTTATAGGCAGCACAATTCGTAATAGCCAAACTATGGAGTCAGCTGGCTGTTCATCAACAGGTAAATGGATAAAGAAAATGTGGTATGTGTTCACAGAGGAGATTTATTCAGCCATAAAGAAGAATAAAATGTATAATTTGCAGGAAAAAAATAGATGGAATTAAGACCATTAGGTTAAGCAAAATAAGCCAAATTCAAAAGGTCCAAGGTTGTATATTTTCTCTCATCTGTGGGAGCTAGAATAAAAAAGGAAAAAGAAAAGAGATGGGGAAGAGGATCAATAAAAATCAAAGGGGAGACAGTAGAGGGTTAGATAAGGCTGTGAGAGGCCTGAGGAGCCGGGTAGTGATAACTGGCCAAATTATATTGTTATATCCTGTGCAAGGACAAATATGTTACAACAAATTCCATCATAATCTACAACTAAGATGCATCAATAAAAAATGAGGAAAGAGAAATAGAAATACACAGTGACTAAGCACCAATGAGAAGAACCTAACTTTTAAACATTTTGATTATCTTTTCTTTTGTTTCTCGTGTCTAATCTGCAGAAATAGTAAAGAAATTTTCTGCTTCTCTTTTGAAAACTAAACAAGATTTTGTATTTGATGATAAAATTTATTTTCTGAAAATGGAATTCCACTGAAGTTATCATGCTGAGATTCCACATTATTTTTCCCTTTACCATCCCAATTAGTTGGTTGTTCAAAGTAAACTTAAAGACACACATTTCAATGTAAGAACATATAACAAATTAAACATGTCATTCTGTATTCAAAAAGTATACTGAAATAAAAATTGAATGTATATGCTGAGTGGGTGCATAGCATACCAGGGACATGCATCCTTGGGGGGAAAAAAAAAACACTAGCAGATAAAATCTAGTTTTTGAATTTCAGAAATAAAGAATAATCTTTGAGTAGCCAGGCAAATATATTGAATCATTTACAATGAAAAATACTGGACTGGCCTTGTAGTTTTGATCATTCAATTCCAAAGAACAGAAAAACTACCTCTTAGGTCTACTAAGATCCTCAAGAAAAGGAAGTCAAATACAATGATTTTAAACTCATTCAACCTGTTCAAGTAAAAAGGTCATAAACACAATAACAATAGAGACACTACTGTTCCCATAAACTATGTTTGAAATACTACAAGGATTGACTTTAACCAAAGGAAAACTGACTAAAGCAACTGTGGTAACAGTCCTGCTGATGACCATTAAGACTTAAACAAAAATGAAGATCAGGGATTGGCACAGCAGTGTACGTTACCTGTCCAGACACTATAAAAATTACAAGGAAAATAGACCCCAAAAAGCAGGAAGTAGAATAAATTCACTGATTGCCTCATCTGCACTACTGTTCATGACTGACATTTACAAAACCACAGACTCATCAAATGTAGAATATACATTCAAATGCTCACAGAATATTTAACAAGATAGACCTCATACTGCACCATACATTTTGAATACATTAAAAATAATTCAAGCCATACAAGGTCATGCTTTTCCCCACATGGAATAAAATTATAAATCAATAACAGAAAGAAGGAACACATGGTATATAAAAATGTGTGAGGTGCTAACTAAAGCAATCCTTAAAAGGAATATCATAGCACTACATATCTTTATAAAAAAGAAGGAAGATCTAAATCAATAACCTCAATCTCCTACCATGATAAACTAGAAAAACAGCAAATAAAATTCAGAGTAAGCAGATGAAAGGGAATAATGCAGTTCAAAATGGAAATCAATGAACTAAAAATCAGAGAAATAGGAAAAAATCAATAAAACCTTGAGAGGAGCAATAAAACTTACAGTTTTGATAAAGAATATTGGGGAGGGAGAGACAAGACAATTTACCAATATCAGATTCTGTATATATTAAATATAAGAAAATGTTATAATTTTATGTCTTTAATAACAACTCAAATGCAATTAACTTATTCTTTAAAAATCACATGACCAAGTTTGCTCAAGAAGAAAATAATAACCTGAACAACCCTATAACCTTTAAACACATTGGAAATATTCTAAAAAGCATTCATATAAATAAAACCCCTGCCCTAGACATCTTCATTGGAAAACTTTATCAACAGTAAAGGATGAAATAATGCCAATTTCATATAAATTGTTCCAAAAACAAAAGAGGAACAGCATTCCCAACTTACTATATGTTGGCCAGCAGTATCTTGAGACCAAAACTAAACAAAGATGGGTTGTAAAATTTTATATGTGAATATATTATTTATTCTAAATAAGTCAATGAATATAATTTTAAAATTAAAAGTACCCTTTTTGATAATTTTTTTGGAAAGCAATTTTAGTCTTATCTTTATTATCTGGATTTTAATCAGGTTTAAGAAATCAGCATATTTTAAAATTATATTTTATAATTTTCTTCATTGGATTACTCCAATATTCTCTATCTAGTACTTCTAGCTTTATTTCTTATAATATAATTTTTCACAGGATTTACATACATTCCCTTCTTTTTGTTCTAGATATGGAGGGAAATTATACTTTATCCTATCTATTTTTGGTGTTTGTGTTCACTATAGTATATAGCATTTTCTATTGAGTTTGATTTGGGAAGACTTGTATTTTATTCATGTTTCCTTTTTTAGTTAGTCTGATTTTGTTTTATATACAATACATATTTTCTATGCTTTTTTCTTCCAGGATCATTTCTCTTTGTTCATCATTGCCATTTCAGTTGATTTTATTTTCTTAATTTTAAGTTGTAGTTGGACACAATACCTTTATTTTATTTATTTAGTTTTATGTGGTGCTGAGGATCAAACCCAGTGCCTCGCACATGCTAGATGAGCATTCTACTACTAAGCCAAAACTCCAGCCCCTTCAATAGATTTTAAAGAAAGAAAATTAGGAAATAGTTGTTCTTGTTTCCTACTATATTGAACCATGAATATAAATCTCATATAGAAAATTTATATAAAATATTCACTATGGCTATAAGAACAATTCATTGTGTGTTACAGATGATCTTGCCTTTCAGAAAAACATTTAGAAAATGCTTTTAACCCATTACTACTTCAAATAAGAATATGATATAAAGACCCATGACAAGAATTCAGGAAAGCATGTGTTCAATGGACAGTAACTATAACTAAGTCTCAGTAAGCTTTTCTGTATAGAGTTGAGCCAAATAACTGGATTTTTAAATTATTTAACAATTTCCTTGGGAGTTAATTCAAAACATACCCTTAAAAAACTCTAAAAACCATCTTCCAAAATAATAAAAAAGAACAAAAAGAACTAAATAATAGACCATAAATAAGCAAAAGGCTGAAGAGTTTGAGAGCACTTTCCTAACCTGCAGCTCCAAGACTGTCATTCTGGCAAGAGTCAAATCTAGGGCCTGAGCAGAGTGGGACCAATCATGACTACAACCAATAATATAGGTGAATTAGAGATAAAACAGTCCTCTAAATAATCTGTAACAAACTTTGTATTACCTAATGGACCACAAAAATATCCAGCTATGAATATGGATTGATTATAGTGATTCCATTAGGTACCTGCCACAGGCAATCAAAAATCTTTCTAGAGAAAGATAAGACAAACCTACATCTCAAAAAATACAATAGCATCTCTGAAATATTTTTAATGAAATTATATGAATATTTTGCCAAATAAACACTATAGTATTCTTATATTACACTAATAACTAAAAAGCATTATGTTTTTAAAATTACCTTTTGTGTTTGTAGAAATGTTTGGGCTTTTGGAAAACAATCTACATAAATATAGAATATTACCTTGGTAAGCTCAAACTTTTTGCAGTGTGATGTATGAAGTATTTAAAACATGTCTTTTCTTACTACTCCCTCAACACTACAAATGAGCAACCTTTAAACTATACTGGCCATGTTCAGAAAACTAAACAGCAAAGGCTTTATTTTTTAATATTGCCTACTTTAGCAAAAATGGACCTCCTCCATGTAATATGCTGAAATAACAATACCAAAAATCCATCATTTTATAATAAGCTATAAATAATAGAGTATATACATGAAACTTAACCTTCTTTTAAACTGACTGAGTTAATTTCCTAAAATTTAATTTTATTTTCCTGAAATAGAAAAAGTTTTCAAACACTGTCTTAAAATTCTTATTACTTATATAGTACTTTGATAATTTCTTTAATTTGTGTTACCAAAATGGATCAAAAATAACCCTTAAAATATCTAGGTTGCTATAAATAATCATCAATATCTTCTTTCTCCTTTCATACCTATAGTATCTGGGAGGTCTAGCAGTTCATTGTGCTGCAAGTCAAGGCTGGTTATGTGTGTGCAGTTTCCAATCTCCTTTGGAAGGTGTTCAAGTTGATTATGAGCTACATCCAGCATAATGAGGTTACATAATTCACCTGTAAATTGACCAACATAGTGATTTAATAAGCATTATTAAATAATATCTCAGGTGATACTAGGATGCAAGGGAGTATTTTTTATGATTTTGAAACATAATTAGAAATATAATATTATTACATAGGCAACTTTTTTTTGAAAATGGAAAAATCAAAGAACATACTTGAATTGTAAGTTAAAAACCTGGTTTTCCCCAACATATTTACATTCTTTCTGAAAAATATTAAAATTGAACTCAAAATTTGAATCTATTATTTCAAAATGACATCTAATAGCATGAAAATATTGCTTGTAAAAGATTACTTTATTAATCTGTGTCATGTGGGGTTTTCTTCTTTTGTCCTAATGATTGAACTCAGGGTTTCACACCTACTAAGACCATATTTTACCACTAGCTACATCCAGGGCTCCATGTATATATATTCAAGTAGCAAATTTAACCACAAATGCTGGATGACATAGTCCAGATTTAAAAAGCTGACAAATTTAGCACAATCATATCAAATACATGTTGAGTTCAGATGGAGACATGCCTTACACCTCAAAATATACATGCTTATTATACATGCTTAATAGAGGCATATAATATGATGTTACATAAATACATAATTTTTTTAATAAATAAAAATAACTTCTCAATTTAATAGAAATTTAAAACAATAGACAATGAAGACAAAGCTGGTATGGCTATAATTTCAGACGAAGCAAACTTCAAAGCAAGGAAAATCATCTGGAATATAAAAAACATTACATAATAATAAATGAACAGAATAATCCTAAGACATAGCAATCCTTAGAGCATAAGTACTTCCTCATCTTCACTGTGTCTGTTTGGTGCTTAGTAAAAAGCATTATATTAATTGAAAGAATAAAGATAATTAAGGAAATTTTGGATACTTCTACTCTTCACTTCAGAATAAAACTTAAGATCTGTCATCATCTTTTCAAAGACATAATACCTGAAGTCCTTTCAATTCCATGATTTTTTTTAGAATTAGAAATTTAGGAATAAAAGACAAAAGTTAGGTAGCTGCAAATATGAATCATTTAATGACATAAAATATGCCAATTTAAAAAGTTATGCTCAGGGGCTGGGATTGTGGCTCAGCAGTAGAGCTCTCGCCTAGCCCGGGCTGGGTCCAGGTTCTGTCCTCAGCACCACATAAAAATAAAGGTATTGTGTTGTGTCCATCTACACTTAAAAAAGAAATATTTAAAAAAAATTTAAAGTATGTTCAATTCTCAGTAAAAATGCTGCAGGTATACTCTCAAGAACAAACTGAAGTTAAATTTAAAATCCTGTTAAATAATTCCTCATTCAACAATAGTATATTAATGTCTAGGTAATTTGATAGCAATGCTATAGAAAGAAACCCTTACAGAATGACTTGTGAATTTAAGTCAAATTTTTTAGGACTAAGTATATCACAAACACAAAACAACAATAACAAAGAAAAGCAATAATATCTCACATTTCCATACAAAAATTCAGCAGTTGGCTGAGCATGGTGGCACATGCCTGTAATACCAGTATCTCAGGAGGCTGAGACCAGAGAACAATGAGTTCAAAGCCAGCATCAGCAAGGGTGTGGCATAATGCAATTCAGTGAGACCCTGTGTCTAAATAAAATTCAAAATGTGGGGTGGGTGTATCTCACTGGTCATGCGTCCCTGACGCAATTCCTCGGAAAACAACAAAATATTCAGTATTTGTTTTTCCAAGTCTATACTTCTATCCAACAATAAGCCATAAATGCAGGTCAAATTTTCATAATATGATACTAACGGCAGTCATTCTACAATCTCATTTCTATGGGACCATATGTAATAAATCATTTCCACATAGAAATTCCTGGGAATATTTTAATACCTCTTGAGCAAACTATACTTACCTCATTCATACCATGTATTACTTGAGAAAGTCTATAACAGATAGTCTTGAGTAATCTGAAGTTAAAATTAATATTTAAGTGTCTAGACTTAAATCTAACAAAACATGTTATCTAAAAGTTTAACTTCATTTTAAAACACAGAATATTATCTTCCTGAAAAGCTCCAGAGCCTAAAATCAGAAAATTTCCTTTATCACTAACAAGATCTATACTGAATCAAGAATATATTTAATTCATCTTTGTGTATTTTGAATAAACCTTTTACAAAATAAAAGCTTCCCTTTAAAAATAAAAATATATTTTGTATTTTGATTTTTTAAAACTCTTACAAAAACCCACAAAACTGTAACTTTAATTTCACAAAATTGATGCCAATAAATTTCTATATTCAAAATAGTTCAGAAGTTTTCCCATAATTAAAAATAAAGATAATTCATTTCTTTTTTACTGACATTACACATCTATATTCATTACTTTTTTTCCTACTACCATTCTCTTAAAACATTTGCTTTACTTTCTTACTATTCAGCTTAACTATAAAAGACAAGAATGAGTGGTATAGAAATGCTAAGTGTTGGTTTACAACAGATCTCTCTTCTTCTATTTTTCTGTCCTGGATTTTTTTTGTTTGCTGTTTTGATTTCATTTTTAATACAATATGTTGCCCAGGCATATCTGGAAATCTTGGGCTCAAGCCACCTTCCATGCCACAGCCACCCAAGTAGCTGGGATTATAGGTATGTGGCACCCTGCACAGCTACTATGTTCGATTTTTTTTCTATTTTTTAATTGCATCATATTAGTGATACATTAGGATTTGTTTTGATGCAATTATAAATGCATGGAGTATGATTTGCTCAAATTCAGTATAAAATAATTGCCTTTATCCACCCCCCTCAGATCCTCTTCCCTTTCCTTTATTTATCTTTCTGCTATTTAAGTACATTAGTTGTTTTGTTTTTTTTTTCAATTAATGTCTTGTGGACATACATGATGATGAGATTCACTCTAGTATAGTAATATTAGAGTTTTAAATAAAAATTTAGGTACTACCAAAATTTAAAAAAAATGTTTTTCTATTTTCCTATGGCACTTCAGTTTCACAAAGGTATAAGATGAAGATCTTTAGAAATACACTAAGTAGAAAGTGATGTGAATTTAAAGCCTTCAGATAAAAAAGGAAAGTTAGAGAATGGGCACGTAGAGCCTTAATATATCTAGTATAAATATATTGGTGCTTTGAAAACAGATGACAACTTAACAATTAAGCAAACATCTTTCAAATTCATTTTTTTCCAATCAAAATCAGAGCTGACTGTATTTGTAACAAAGGTCTAATTACTTAGAAACAAATATTAGGAATTTTCTGATATGGAAAAGCACTCAACAGAATTATTAAGCATAACAAACAGTAAAATCGATAGTAATAACCCAAATGTTCTTACCAATTTCAGCAGGTAGTTGTTTGATTTTGTTCTCTCGCATGCTAAGCGTTCTGAGTTTTGACAGGTTTTTTATGTCCTTTTCCACAGTAGTTATGCGATTAAAGCGAAGGTAGAGAGTGGTGAGAGAATCTAACCTATACACCACTGAAGGAATGTCTTTCAGTTTATTATGCCGTAAATCAAGCAACTGCAGCTTCTTCATGTTATCAAGAGAGTCAGGCAAACTGGTAAGTGAATTTTCACTTAGAGCCAGTATCATGAGATTTACTAGACAGCCCACCTCTGCTGGGAGGGACTGCAGCTTGTTACTGTATAAATAAAGTTCAGTTAATTGAGTCAAGTGTTTGATCGATGATGGCAATATGTGCATAGACCTCTTGGATAAGTCCAAACGCACTGAATTCTCTTCCAGGCACTTCTTGAGCTCTTTAGTTACTTCTGCATTACTGGATTTTTTCCCAGTCCCACGTGCAGGACTTGGCCGCTTGATCCTATTGTCAACTAAAAAAGCCACCCCTGGTTGGGCAGCACTGGAGACCCTTTTTCCATCTTTGGCATCTTTCCCTTTGGTTTTAGGTTCTTTTTCATGGCTTTCTGTCCCCAAATCTCCAGAGGCCTTTGAAGTCTTTTCTCTTTCTTTGACTGATGGCACATTCAGATCTTTCTCTTTAGAGTCTTTTTCTTTCCCTAAATTACCACTCATGGTGACTCAAGCTTGAAAAAAAATACATTAACTTTTACTTTATTTTCTAGCAATAAAATTCAACATTGAACAGAAAAACACCTTACACAATCAAACAAGTGTTGGCTTGAAAAGGTAATTAGCATGGAGTTACACCCATCTGTCACATGTCGGATCCAAAAGTACACTGTCCATTTCTGAAAACTCATTCGAACTGGTAAAATGGTGCTGGTCAATCAATGATTCATTAGAATTCCTGAAATATAATAGAGAGTATTAAATCACCTTATGTTATAATTAATATGAAGTAAACAGTCTCAGAAAAACAGTCTTTCTGTGAACTTTGCTGTGAAGAGTGGTCACAGAGAATGGGAGAACACTGTCTGGGACTAGTGTCTTACATGACCTCATGGCTGGGGCACGCCTGGTAGACAAGAATGTTTCTTTGCAGAGGTGCAGAATGCCTACCTGCTGTTGTAATGCCCTCCATGAGGAGACTCTGTGCTAGAGTTTTATCAGCCTCAAATCAGACACACAGCTCCTGGGAATAGAGGAAATCTCTTGCTAGAATACCACAGTGTTCCACCAGTTCCGCCTCTCCTGAACCTGCCCACCTAACAGTAAGTTCAGACAATAAACTTTGAGAGTTACACAAAGCTCCTAATGTTCCACACTGCAACTGTGGATTGTGGAATAGTGCATGATGTTGCTAACCCTATAAACATCTGAGTACAAAGAATAATGCTTCTAGAGGCTCTAACCTGAAAATGAGGCATATATAAATAAAGAATAGTGGCATAATTCATTAGATCATCTGCTTTTTCAGAGAACAGCACTGCACCAACTCCAGCTTTACCTTCAAAAACATCTGTCTGTATGTGAGTCTTTTTTTCTTATCCCTCTTTGCCCCTCGCCAGAACCTGCTAGTTTGGCTACACTGGTTACAGGATTTTGCCATCTTCCTATTACTTGATACAGTATTTACTGAAATTTAATGAATTGAAAACTTAAAAAATAAGGCAGGCTCTCCCATCAAGGAATTTGGAATCTGATAGAGGTATATGATTACAAATCACTCTGTTGTAAAACTTTATGGAAGTTAAAGTGAGAGAAATCACAACAGCAGCTAACATTTACTAAGTGCTAATACAAACACTGAAGAATTTACAAATATTTATATATTTTACGTGGATATATATAACAGCATTATGAGATGAACTATTATCCACATTTTCTACAAAGGGACACTGAAACACAGAAGTACTTTTAGATAATTAGCTTTGTTATCGGGAAAGTGAAAAACAGCCAACATTTTAAATCGGCATATATCTACAGGCTATATTCCTAACCAGCACCCTAAAACTTCTCTACCTGAAATTAATTATAGCTTTAGAAAACAGGAAGGGTTATAAAGTTGATAAAAGAATGGGCCAGCAGTGCGGCAAAAGAACAAAAGGAACAAAATTACATAGATGGAAAAAAATTTAAAATAAGGGAAAACAGTATTAAACTGTGTACTTTGTAAGCACTCTATTTGATTCTCATACAGGTTAATCAGAGGGATCACCCTTGAGAATCCATGACACAGCAATCTCTAATGATGTCTATATTCTTGGAAAAGTGAAAGATTAATAGCACAGGAAAAGTATAAAAATTTCACTGGTGAAGAAATGGTATGGAAAACTTTTGTGGAAGGCATCAGTTCTCCCAAACTTTTAAATTTAAAATACACAATTCTTGTTTTTAACTCTTGTTAGCTTTAACTGATGATACATATTGCTTGGCATGAATAAGGACTCTGGCTTTGATCCCAGGAACAGGAAAAATTGTAGGCTATGGCCCCTCACCCACACAAGTTTACAGGTTAGAGTGTCAGAACACTCAAGATAACTAAGTAACTAGGTAGTGTGGTATATTAATTCCTCATATGAGTGACACAAGCTATAGAACGTTTGGGACAATCATTATCAGTGAAGACAGCTGAGATGAACTTAGGCTAACTCTCCCATTATTAATGGAGTAGAGTTCAAACAAGGACAGGTGGGTGGTACATCAGGAAAGGGGACATTTTGCCTAAAATAAGAATGAATGGGCTTACTTTGCATATGATTGTGAAAAGGTAGGAATTTGATCAAACAGGAGACTTGCAATGATAAAAGCAGTTGGCTAGGGAATGAAGGATCTATAATCTGAACCTGCAAAGCATGAACTTACAACGGTAAATACAATTAAATAAACGTGCTATTATTTGCTAGCATACCAGGAAAGCTCTGGCTCATGCCATTCACCACTATGGCCCCTTCAAATCAATGAAGTGCTTTTACTTCAACAATACAACAATTAATAATGGAAAATATGCATCATTTCAGGGATACAGCATTGCTTACATGTACTTAAACTGTCATCATGAGCCAAGCATGGAGTCACATGCCTGTAAATTCTAGTAGTTCCCCAGAGGCTGAGGTAGGAGCATCACAAGTTAAAAGCCAGCCTCAGAAATTTAGTGAGGCCTTAAGCAACTTTGCAAGATCCTATCTCAAAATAAAATAATAACAATAATAATAATAATAATATAAAAAAGCCAGGGAGGTGGCTCATTGGATAAGCACCCCTGGGTTCAATTTCTGGTACTAAAATCAAACAAACAAAAAGCATTGAAAGAAAGGCCATCATACTAAGTTTCTGAAAATTCAGTTTTTATTTAGATACACACAATTTAGAAGGAAAACTCCAATGTTCCTGTGTAAAAATAAATAATATTTAAAAGTGCAAAAGCTGAGGCTCCATCTCAAACTACTCAATCAGAACCTTTATGGAAGAGAGTCCAGGAAATCTAAAACCTAAAACAAAGTGTCTGCATAAAAGCTTGTCAAGTTTGGGAAACATTTGATCTGACCAAATGTGGGATCTGAAAACCAGTAAATGTATTCTCAAGTATCATTCTAAAAAAATGAAGGTTGAAGCTCAAGGACAGTTCCTGAAATAAGTACATTAATGAAAAAAAAAACATTACTCATAATTTTAGGGTCCTCCTGAAGTCTAAAGGAGTTCCCTTAGTTTATTAACATCATCCACTATATTTGAAATTCAGACTACCAATACTTGAGCTATTTCAATGATTTTACTCTAGCCATGATGGATTTGAGCTGAGTCACATACCCATCCTGCAGCTCCTGTACCTAATGAGATTTGCTACTACACAGTTTACTCACAGTTCACCATGCGTTTTATTCTTTAATTAAATAACCAGGCTGGACTATTAACTAAAAAGTTCACATCTAGTAAAATACATTTTGTTCAGGCGAACTGACTTGACAGTCCAATAGTAAATTCTCAATCTATTTCTGAATCAATTGAAACTGCCAAACTTTTTAAGGGAAAATGTACTCAGAGTAATCTTTGATGTTGCTTGAAAATAAGATATTCAAGAGTCTGGGCTTTATGTAATTACTTTAATTGCATAATGTTTGGAGGGACAGCTACATTTACAAAAATTGAGAATTTTGTATTCATTCATGTAGTAGTATACATAGTACTCAGTCTCAAATGCTTCAAATCCAGTTGAGGAAGAAATCCTAAAATTGTATCAATAATTAAACTGATGCCAGCAATGTGTTTTTATACTGAGATAGTCACCACTCCTGGTAACTCTTATTTCCAACCATCTAATAACTACTGTAAAGAGAGCACTTTATATGAGGTTTTAATATATCTTATTTCAAAGTCTCACAATCAGATCCTAAGGAAGATGTTAAACAAATCCCATTCTTATAACCAAGTTAACTCTCTTAAATCCATTTTACTATTAATCCAAAATGGCATCAAACCAGAAAATGGCACTGATTCCCCCCCACCCCCTTGCAAAGGTTTAGGTTGAGGTAACTTTCATGAGCAAAAACAATGTTACAAATTATGAAAACAATTTTGAATTTCTAAGTTGAAAAGCAACTCTATTCCCTATGTATAAATAAGAACAATGACACATCTAATAAGTGGAAAAATTTTTAAAAAAAGGATGCTGGATTTTAAATTCCATGTGTATCCTTTGCCTTATAACATGCTCAGTTACAAAGATAAGTATCCATATCATGATTGCATATGGATGTTGATTAATTTAGACTTCCAGTATCTTCTAAGTCAGGGTTCTGTCATGAAGCTTTCTGTTACTGTGACAAAATATCAGATAAACAACTTTAAGGAAGTAAGGATTGTTTTGGTTCATATTACAGAGGTTTTGGGCTATGGTTGCTTGACCCCGTTACCTTTGGGCCTATTGTGAGGCAGTACATCATGGCAGGGAATACACGAGGAGCAAGACTGCTCTCAACATGCTTGCCAAGAAGCAAAATGGGAAAAACATCCCAGAGTCTCAATATTCCCATTAAAGGTGTGCCTCTGAAGACCTAAATTCCTTCCACTAAATTCTACCTCATAAAAGGTTCCAAAGCCTCCCAAATGGGCCATAAGGTGGGGCCCAGGCCTTCAAGACACGAAACTTTGAGGTCAAAAACTTTTTTGTAGAGGGACATAGGCTTTGCAGACCAAATTAAGTCTGTGTGGCAGGAACATGAATTCTGTTATTTCAGTATGAGAGCAGAAGAAGACCACACACAACAAACAGGAGTAGATGAGTTTCAACAAAATTTCATAGCAAACCAGGCCTCAACCTACATTTGGCCACTGGTCCATGGTTTAACAAGCCTTATCCTGTCACTGTTTCAAATTTTAAATAATTATTTCATAAGTCTCAAGATGACCATGATAAAACTAAAAAGAAAACTCATAAATATTCATCTATAATTGAGGATTTCAACACCCCCTTCTTTGCCAATTACTCAAGAGACCAGAATGAGTGGAGGTAATGGTTTCTAAATTGGTCACAGAAAAGGCAACAGAAAAACATAATTAACTAATAACTGATAAAAACCACAGGAACAAAAGGTGACAAGAAGCAAGACTCTGTAAATTTGAATGTTAATAAATTTCTTATAATACATAAGCAATACCTAAATAATGCACTA